CGCACAGCGCATGCCGCATGCCCCAGACCAAAGCCCCCCGACCGACACGAAACCCCCGCCCCGTTCCCAAACAGCGTCTGTGCCACCCTCGTGGCTCGCGGCGCCGACGCACGGAAGCTCGCTGCAAATGCAAGTCATGCCCCCGCCCTTCCCCCCCCCTCGGTGCCCCCCGGGGGCCCTTGAGCAACGATGCCTCTGTGAGGGCGCTTCGGGTGTGGGGGGGCTCCTTGAACTGAGCTCGAGCGCTCTGCATCGACAGACCTAGCTCCACACGCACTCGGCGCACGGCCCTCGTTAAACGCCTGGGAGGCATCGGCGCACTGGGCGCGCCCGCGACGCGCCACCGCGCCATTGCGCGCAGGCTGCGCGCAGCACTCACCGCCATGCTTCAGCTCCTCCCCCATGCGAACGCACGCGCGCGCAGATTTAGCAAATGCACGCAGCGCGGTTGCACGGTGCAGCGCGCAACGGAATGCCAGAGGAGATGCGAACCCAAAAACGATTCAACGCATTTCGCCTCAACCAACGCCCAACGCATTTTTTTTTCACACAATCGCCGCGCGACGATCTGCGCTCGCGCGTCTCGCGCAGCGCGCGCAACATATCTAGTAATGTTTTTTTTTGTTGCGTATCTTGGTATCGTTTCTGTTTTTTTTTGTTTTGTGCTAAGTCTTCTAGCTTCGATTTCTCGCCCCACCCTGCTGGCAGAGACATGGTCATGTCTCTGGCCAGGCTGCCCGAGACACAGCTGTGTCCCGGGCCAGGCCGCCCGAGACACAGCTGTGTCCCGGGCGGCCTGGCCGAGACACCGCCATGTCCCGGGCGGCCTGGCCGAGACACCGCTGTGTCCCGGCCGCCGCCCGGGACACCGCTGTGTCTCGGGCGCCCTTTCCGACGCACAGCCGCGCCCCAGGCAGTGCGTCCGAGACGCAGCCGTGTCCCGGACAGCTCGCACGAGACACAGCCATGTCCCGGACCATGGGCCCGGGACACAGCTGTGTCTCGGACCAGGCCGCCCGGGACACAGCTGTGTCTCGGGCAGCCTGGCCGAGACACCACTGTGTCCCGGGCGCCTCGTCCTGAGGAAAATATGCGCGTGTCAAGCGCGCTCGCGCAGAGGAAAAAAAACTCTCGCGCAAACAACTGCGCTTCGAAACCAAACGCGTTGACGTCGAATTCCAAACACGCTTTTCGCAAACAAAACACCTTGCACCACAGCCGCGCGCGCACTCATGCACAAATGAACACGCGCGCGCGCAGGGAGGGAGGAGCAGAAGGAAGAGGAGGCGGCAGCGAGGGGGAGAAGGAGTGATGGGGCGCGGGGGAGGAGGACGGCGGCGCCGCGGGAGAGGGAGGGAGAAGGAAAGGAGAGAGGACGAGGATGCAAACGACGACGACGCCGACGAGGAGCGAGGGAGGAACATGGAGGAGGAGCAGAAGGAGATGGATGAGGACGACGAGAAGCGCTGCGAACGCACACCTGCGCATGCACATGCACGCACGGACCTAATGGGTGGCGCCCCCAGGGGGGGGGTTGTTGGCCCGCCGCCTTGGCCCCGTTGGTCTCGAAGGTCTCGAAGCCACCCCGCGCGGCGCAAGCCTGGGCAACGGCGCGGGGCGCGCGCTGCATCCGGCACTGCCCGTGTGCAAGCCGCCCGAAACTGCATTAACTGACCCTGCTCTCCTCTCCTTGGGAGGGGGCGGGCTGGTGTCATTGTCTGGCACCGATCGGTGCTGATGCAGGCGCCAGCGGTGGCTGCGCAATTCTGCGTACCACCGCGCACAACGCCCGCGCATGGAACGCCCGCGCCCCGTGGCCGCCTCGCGGCGTGGTACCAGCGCGATCACAGGCCCAGTCGGAAGCAAATGTCGCACTGGAACGGTTCGAACGTCACTCCCTCGGAGCACGCCTGTGCGCAGCAACGATGCCATGGCATCAGGCAATTTGTGCAGACGAACAAGTCCCCCATTGGCGGCAGCTTGAAAGCGTCTTTCAGATGCCCGTCGCACAGAGCGCAGTTGCCCCTCACGTCCTTCGGAAACCTCGGGCCGCAATACGCCTGCACCTCTGCGTGGTATTGGAGGTGCAGAGCCCATTCTGCCATTGGCGGCCTCTCTTTCATGCCACCAACTGTCTTCACCATTGCGACGCCCATGTCCCTTGCGAGGACCTTGCGCGGCCCATCCAGAGGAGTGAGTACTGGTGCCGCGTAGAAGATCAGTGTCTTAGCGCGCTTCTGCTCATCCAAGTCGATTTGGCGGCCCTGGCGTGGGATGGCGTCCCAGCGCGCGAACGTCACCCTGCCGTCTGCTTCGATCAAGGAGATGACCCCATGCTTCATTGGGTGCGTGCCAGGCGCCCGGACGTTGGCCCTCCTTGCCGCCAGCTCGAACGCCCTGCGGTTCTCGCGGTTGGCGCGGCGCACGTCCTCCATACCTGGGGGCGCGTAGCCATCCACGAACAGGCCGCCCATGCCAGCGTCGGGGCCGCCACCGTCGTCGCCATCGGGGGAGGCGTCGCCCTCGGCGTCCTCCGCGCCGCGTTCATCCAGCAAGCGCTCCTCGGGGTGTTCGGCGCCCTCGGCGCCGAGCATGTCCTCCGCGCCATCCTCCGCGACGCCGCCGTGGAAGGCCTCGACGCCAACCTCATCCGGGAGGTCCGCCATGACTTGGTCAAGGTCCACCTCGGCGCCTGCGCCGCCGCCGCCCGCGCCTGGGCCGCCAGGCGCGTCGTCGCCTCCGCCTGGCGCGGCGATGGGCAAGGGCGCGGGCGCCCCGTCGCCAGCGGCCCCCGCGGCGGCTGGAGGGCACGGGGCTCGCCTCGGCTTTGGCGGGGGCAGCTGGCTGAAACGGTCGCCAGGGGCAAGGTCAGCTGGAAGAACTGCAAGCCGCTAGGGCCGATGACGAGCGACCCCTTGGCAACCCACAGCACAATGCCATAGGACCATCCGAGCACAAATGGCAGCAGGCCGTCCGCATCTCAGACTTCCGCAACGTCGACCGACACTGTCCTGTACACGGATAGCGCAAGTCGGCCCGCCAGGCCAGCAAAGCGATGCTTGCGCCCACAAGTGGCGGGCTTGGCTGGCTCGGGCTGCCGCTCCCAACACCCCTCTTCGAACCTGTCTCTCTGGGCAGCCGTCTGCATGTAGGCGATGACCTCGTCGTGCATTTCCATGCACTCGGCAGCGCTGATGCTCTGGGACCTCTTGATCTGCATCCTGTCCGATGCCAACTTAATCTCTAGCGTCGGTGCCCTGGCGCTCATTGTTTGCAAGATCGAGTTCATCCCTTCGATTTCTTGCGCGTCTGCTGGGATCGCCGAGCGCAGCAGCAACATGGCCCCCCACATATTCCGCGGGCACACCACATCGTCCCGCGCGGTGGTGAGTTCCGCGCGGAACAGTCTGACAAGCTTCACGCCGACGTCAGAGAACTTCCTCTCCAAGCAGCACTCCTCCAGGCCAAGCGCCTTCGCGGCAACCTCTCTGCGAATAGGGCAGTCTGCGTGCGGGGGGCTCTCCACCAGTCTCAAGAACAGATAGGGGAAGTCCCCGAACTTCCTCGTGAAGCGGTGCTCCCACGACGCGGCGCAGGCCGACGCCAAGTGAACGATCAGCGCCGCCGCCTTGCACGCAAGCGCCCCGTTGGGGAGCATCCGCCACAAAGGGGCCCACGCCTCCTCTGATGCTGACGCGCCAATTTTCGAGGAGACCGCCAATCCGCGCCGCTACGGCGCCGACATGGCCACCCACCATGTTGCTCACTGGTGTCGGGCCAATGTACGCGTGGCCAGCGCCCTCTGCCTGCTGCACCGCGGCGTTGAACTTCTTCGCTTGCTTCATCATCCAGTTGGAGAAGTGCGAAATGGGCCCCTTGGCGATGAGCGAAATGAAGATGATGGCGAGCATGAGCTGGCTGTTCGTAACGCGCACGGCGACCAACTTGAAGTTCTTCACTTGCTCTATGTAGTCATCATCTTCCTCCGCTCCTGGGGCGACCTTCCGCCGCTTCGCCCCTTTCTTCTCGGCAGGGGGCGGGAACGCGGCCATGAACACGGGGCCGATCACTGCGCGCCCCTCCACCAACGCGCTCTCTATAGCGCCCACTCGCCCCTGCCTCCCTTTGAGCGGCCTCCCTGGGACTCTGCGGAAGTGCTTGCGCATGGTAACGTCGCCGTAGAGGCGCGAAGCCATCTTCCGCAGCTTCTCCGCAGCCCCAGTCGAGCGCCAGACGTTGGCGACTGTCGCGACGTTCCCCCAATACTTGCAGCCGCCGTCCTTGTTCATTGGGACCCCTCCTGCCTGCAGCGCGACGAGGGCCCCCCCCCGCCGCCTCGGCTGGCGCGGGCGGCTGCGCCGCGGCATCCGCGGGGGGCACGGCGGCCGCGGCGGCCTCGGCGGCGGCGCCATGCGGGCCCCAGTCAAAGGATTCCAGGATCTGCAGCATGCCATGCACAATCAGGTGCGCCTGATGTGCGCAACAGAAAGCCATGAGGAACATGACAGTGTCGCACCCGCCCAGAGCGGTCTGTAGCATCGGGGCCATACCTATATTGTCTGGACCAGCGTCTACACCGAAGACGAAGAAGCTGAGGCGCCGCGCGCCTGCGCCTGCCGCGCCGCTGCGACGCTCCTCCCAGTTAGCGCAGCCGGCTGACGCCATCTCCTTCTTGATGTTGGCATGCGTCTCATCTGCTTTGCCCGTCTTGACTTTCTGGAGGTCGCAAGCCACCCGCGTGCACTGGACGGCGCGCTGGAAGCCCTCGTCCGCATGCGCGCCGTCTGCTGGCTGCGCCGGCGCCAGCGGCGCGGCTCGGTGGCTGTGGTGAACCAACATCGACACGTGCATCTTCTCACGATCGATGGCCTCTTGGTGCGTGGCGTCGCACCGAAAGCATATAGCCTCGATGTCGGGCGCCGCCACCGCCGCCGCGGGGGGCGCGGCGGCGGCGCCGCCTGCGGCGGGCGCGCCTTCGCCGCCGCTGGGCACCTGGGCACCTGACCCCCCATGGCGACAAGTGCCCGCGCGCGCACGGCTGCCGCGGCCCTGTGTTCGTAGGTCCATACCGTGCGCTTGTCCTTCACAGCGCCGTGAAGCTCGTCACCGGCGACCATGGCTGCCGTGGCTGCGCCGCCTGCGTGCGCCACGTTGCGCCGCAAAGCCAGCGTGCACCCCCCGAATAAGGACACGTTGGCGCGCCCGCCGCTCCTGAACCGAACAGCCTGCATCAGCACTTGCTCCTCTTGGTTTCGCTCTGCTAGCTGGTCAGCAAGTAGTGCTGCCCGTTGCTGCCATTGGTCTCGGTTTCTCGTGAGGTCCCTGAGCGTCGCCCGCTGTGCTGCCGCTGTCTGGTCGCGCGCGGCGATGGTGGCGTCCCTGGCATGAAGGCGCTCCAGCAATTCTGCGTGCGTGAGGCCGTCGTAGGAAATGCCTGGGCCCGCCGCGACAATAGGGCCGCCCGCTGCGGCCGCGCCCGCGGGCGGAGCGACCAGGGCCATGCCCGCCGCTGAAGCCGCGCCGCCATCTGCAATCGGTGGGGGCGGAAGGCCAGATGAGGATGCTGCCGATGACGAACCGAATCTGCCGCCTGCCTTCTCGCCCTTGCAGTTCCCATGGCCGACGGGCCGCGGCCTGCCGCGCGTAGGCCCTCGGGGGGCGGCAATCGGCGAAAGCGTCCTTCACCTCCTGGAACGCGGTCGTGACGTCGCAGAAGTACGTGAACACGGCAGGGGGGAGGGTCATGGGCATCTTGTCGCCCCCCGCGGGCCCCCCCAATTGGTCTGCATGGCGTTCGGCCAACATGCGCTTGATCTGGTTCTTCAGCTTCGGCGCGGTCATCGTGCGCGTCTCGTTCGGGTCGATCTGTAGGCAGTGCAACGCCATATGGGCCGCGTCTGTGTACTTCAGAGAGCCCGCCGCGATCTGCGCGCCCATGCCCCTCGCGTTGGCCACGTGCACCCTGCCCTCGAGCAGCACCGCTGCGCGACGAGCCATCCTGCAAACAATTGGTTGGTTATTTGCACGGATGCCGCGGTGCCCAACACCCACCGCAATCATTGCATGCAGCGTTTCCGTGACCATTTTTGGCTCGAGCACGTTCGGGGCACTTTCCGTAACCATTCTTGGCTCAAGCGCGTTCGGGCCACCAACCGACGCCACTGCTCCAGCGGCGGCGCGGGGGGGCGCCGTCGCCACGTGCCGCAATCACATATCATCACCACGCCATCACCTCATCACATCGCACCGTTCCCTCCCGAACGCTAGCCGCGTGACAGGCCCCCCATCCACGGAGGGAGGTTGCGTAGAATCCCCCCCCCCCCCCGAGGCACGGATGCCGACGGATGCCGCGTGGCTTCATCGTGGGCCCCTTGCACACACACGCACTCCCTCTCTCTCTCTCTCTCTTTTTTTTTCTCTCTCTCTCTCTCTCTCTCTCTCGCTCGCTTTCTCCCTCTGTATATTTCCACGCATATGCATGCGTGTATTCACGCAAGGGTATTGGAGCGTTCTCGGCACGTGCATCCATGCCTACTGGGCGCGTCAACGTCGCGTTGCCTTATCGCTCGGATCGCCTGGGAGATGCACCCGGTATCATTGCGGCAATGCTGAGCTGCCCCGCGGACAAGCGCCCGTCGCCCATGCTCTGTCGACTGGTGCAGCTTACCTATGCTGACGTACCGTTCATCTCGATATCCACGCATCCTTTTTCTCATTTTTTTTTTTGTTTCTCTCTCTCTCTCTATATATATATATATATATATATCACTCTCTCTCTCTCTCTTTCTCTCCCCCCCCTTTCTCTTGTGTTCGTGCCTCTCTGTGCTATATCTCTCTCTCTGTCTCTCCCTCGCTCTATCTATCCCTCTCCCTCTCTCTCTCTCTCTCTATCTCTCTCCCAGTCATGGGGTCCTTCTTCCCTATGGCCCGACCCTTGTCTTCTGATTGCCTCCGCTGTTAACGTTGGACGTCGCCCGCAGCAGATCGCGGGGCCCGATCAGTCGGCGACCCCGACCACTGCATTTGGGGGGCATATCTGGTCACCGTAACGGCGCATAGAGAAAGCCTGAGCAAAAGCTCGCCCCCCTCCTTTGCTCCCGCCCGCCACGGGCCACCTCGGCCCCCCCTGCCCCGAGGCCGAGCCGACATCAGCAAGCAGAAAGACGCGCTCCCTCCGAATCACGCGCTGGCTGTCGACCGCCGCCTCGAGGCGCGCCGCGCTGGCGACGCCGCCGCCGGCCAGCGCCGCGCGAGCGCCTGCCGGGAGTGCGCGCGGGGGGGGGGGTGAAGGGGTCGGTGCGACAATCGCTGCATGCATGCGTTGGCTCACCTTTGCTCCGACGCGCGCGCCCCGCATCTCCGCGCTCAGGCCTTTCGCTCATGGGCCCCACTGCCATCGCGCGAAGTTGGCATTGTCTTGGAGCGCATCTCACACTACAGTCACTATAGTGTTCTGAGGGAAGAGATAAGCAGGAGCGCCTGAGGCAGGAAGGGAGGGGGGGGGAAGGGGGATGTGGCAGGGGCGCAGGAGGGGGGAGGGGGAGGCGTCGTTCAGCACTTCTCTCCCATCGAGTTACTGCAGGGGCCATCGAGATCAGCAAGAGCCTCAACCTGATAATGGCGGGCCGCTCCTGTCTGTCTGCTCGCCCACCCATCCTGCTCTCGAACGTGGTCCTCGTCGCACCCTCTCGCAGCCTCCGCCTCCTCCGCAGCCAGACCCCCAGACCACTCTACTACTCCACTACACTCGTTTCCCTCCTCCACTGGTCCACCACCTTCCCTACCCCTCTTCCGTGCGCTTTCTAGCCTCGCGTTCCCTTCGAGCCACTCCGCATCGCGGGTCGACAGTGCCGTCGACGCGCGCCCCGATAGGTAGCTGCTGCACGCGCCGCTATTGGCGCCCGTCTGCGTGCGCAACTACACTGCGTAACCTATAATTCAGCATATCCAGCCTGCGATGGGCAACGAGCGGCAGGCATATGCCGCGCGCGCCTGCCCTCCCAGGGACTCGCTGTCGCAGCAACGTCGAGCCGCGCGCGGTGCCAGCCACCCGGGGTTGCCAAGCAATACCTGCCTGGCAGCTAGGACTGGCAGCGTCGAGCGGGGCGCAACGGGCCGCGGCGGACCGCGACAGAGACGAGATGCGGGAGACAACAGGGGGGCGCCACAGCGCACTCGCGCATGAGCAACGCACGCAGGGCCCCAGTCACGCGCGCCCAGCCCCCTGGCCCCCCCCCCCCCCCCCCCCCCTCCTCATCCCACCCCCCCTCCATCCCCCACCCCCTCCTCCTCGCATCCCCCCTTCCACCCCCCATGTCCAGCTGGGGGTATCATGGGGAACTGCGCGAGCTTAAGCGAGATAGATAGACAAGGTGAGGTACGCTCCTAACCTCGCGCGCCACACTCAGTAGATGCCTCCAGCATCGAAGAGCTCGCCGCCCCACATGAGGGCGGCGTCGTCGGTCGCCATGCCATCCCTATCGCTGTCGTCGCCGTCGTCGTCGACAGGCGCTGCCTCCGCCTTGTCGAACGCAATGGTAGCATCCGACGCCCAGGGCGGGCGCGTAGAAGCGCCTCTTAGGGAGCAGCAAAACGGAAACGTGGATCGACCGTCACCGAACTTTTGCGAGACGCCCCCATAGGTGAGAGCATAAACGTGATCTGCTTTTGTAGGGGGCGCGGGGGCAGGGTCCCGGGAGAAACTGGCACGCCCCACTCGAGCCCTTACGGCCCCAGATTCGTCTAAAGTTGGGCTTTCCCCTGAAGCTGTTTCAAGCCCGCCCGCCCCCGCTCGGCCCTGGGCCCTATCGATATCATATCGCACCGCATTGCCACATCGCCTTTTCTGTTTGAATTGGCCATCGGGGCCTCCGTCGAATCGGTCGGAGTGCCTGCCCTCTCCCCAGTCACGAAGCCATTCAGGAAGCCGAGGATGACGAAGCCCACCTGCGCCTCGCCGCAGACGCTGAGATGGCGAGCTCGGCCACCTTCAGCATATTGCAGTGCTCCTGAGGGGGCGCGCAGGCGGGCCACATAATGCGAGAACATGGAAAGGGGGTCGGGGTGGGAGGGAGGGATCATGCACGGGGCTTCGGGGCGGGGAAGGGAATTGCGGGGCGACTTACTCGACGGCGGCCCAGAGGCAATTTGCGGCACATTCAAACCTGTGAACATAGCAGGCTCCAGCATCTTGGACAGAGGCGGCACGCAACAATCCCAAGTCGGGCCGACCTTTTCCCCGAACGCTCCGCGGCCATGAAGTGCAAGTGGAATCTGAGGAGCTGCGACGGGAAGCCGCAGGGGTACGCCGCTGAGTCGTGGATGTCCTTCTGGCCAGACACGTGGCCCTTGATGCAAGTCGTGAGCTTCTTGGTATCCTCGCCCTGGCGGGGGGCAGACAGGGGAATTGGCGCGCGGTGTGCCGCGCGCGTTTTATGTGCTACACGCGCTGTTTCAGGGTTGGGCTCGGATTCGGGGCCAGAGCAGTAGGCCTGGCCACCCCCGGGGCCCCAGGGAACGTTCGTGGCCAAATCAGGCTCGCGCAAAGACTCGAGTCAGGAACATGAGCGCACGGGGGCCACTACACAGGGTTCGTTTGGGATCACGCAGGCTGTTGCTGCCCCATTGGTGCTGCAACGGCATGCTGCTTGATCTCGGCGACGACCTCTTTGGCCTTCAGCTTGGCCTCGATCTCGAAGCACTGCGCCCAGTCAACGAGGTGCGTGCTCATCGCGCAGAGAGTTGGTTTCCACGGCGTGGCACCGAAGGCAATCATGCGGAAGCTCGCCATCTGGAAGTTGAATTTAGCCAAGACGTCGGCCACCCTGGGGTACTTGTACATGGAACTCGTGTTCGGCTGTTCCAGCGCGATGGTCCCGCGGACAGAGAGAGCCTGCGCCGATGACTCGGCCATGAAACGGGGGCGCGGACCAGGGGGCAAAGCAGCGGCACTGACATGCACGAAAGCAGACCGCGCCAATCGAGAGCGGAGCCCAGCGCGAGCGAATGGGCGGGCAGGGCGGGGGCGGCCGCCCCACAGGAGAGAGAGGGCATCAAACCCTAGGGAGAGTGGAAGCGGGATTGGGGGCGGGGAGCAGAGGATCGAGAAGGGCAATTGAAAGGACAGACTGATGGGGAAGGCCGCCCAGGAGATTGTAAAGGCGTGGGCGGAGGATACATCAGAGGAGCGGAGTCGGTGGAGGAGTTGATCGAGACCGACTTAACAATGAGAAGAGCGAAGACATGGAGCACCCATGCCTAAGTGACACACGACATAACAATGCGCGCCTTCAGAAACTCGATGAAGTTGCAGACCTCATCTGCGATCGCACTGCCAATCGCGGCGTACTCGGAGCCAGGGCCCCCAGCTGGACGATCAGGCCTCCTGCCCGTCCCTCCGCTCTGCGCCAGAGAGGCGCGGTGGCACCTAAGTGGCGCCAGAGCAGCACCCCTGCCCTGCCTTGTCCCCGAGCATCAAAGCAATTCAGTTTCCTCGCGTCAGCTACTGGGCTACCCTTCATTTATGCCCTACCCCTCCCCTCCCGGCCCACCGCCCAGACAGAGAACACGAGAGCCAGATCCAATGCTTGCACGGGGGGCCCATCACAATGAAATAGCCACCGACCAGGTGGAGCCCGTGCTGGATCAGCCTACCCTTCCAAGTCTTGCCCGTGCTTGAACGAGCCCGAGCATATCCCTACCCCTCTCACTGACTGACATCACTGCCGCTCGCACGCGCGCGCATTCTCGCCATAACGCGGGGCCAACAACATCATGGTACAACCGCCGACGTCCCTTCGGACCTGGCACTTCCATTTCAGCATCGTGGATCGTCGACAAAGCCCCCCCCCCCCCCCTCTCTCCCTGGGCCCGCTCCCGCCGTCTCTTCCCGACGTCGGTGGTGACGTCGTCACCCGGGCCATCTTGCTTCTCGAACGTGGCCATGGTGAGGCCCGCCCGCCTGCTCACTAAGCCCACGTTGCCCTTCCCCGCGAAGAGGTCCATGCCCGCCAGGAGCGGCGACTCTGGCCCTTCAAGAGCCCTGATCGCGAGCTCCTCCTGCGGAAGAGCGGGCAGAAAGAAGGAATGGCGCGCGCGGTCGGCGAAGCATTCGAAGCAGCGACGCCGCGACCGCGCGAGGGGCCGCGCAGAGGCGGACGACGACCCCCGAGGCCGCGCCAACGACGCACCCGACCACGCAAGCCACACCACCCCCCAACGGCTACACGGCACGCCTCCCCACCCCATCCCACCCCCGACTCCTCGACCATCTTCCGCCGCGCCGCGGGGGCCCTCTCGATGTCCACGTTGGGGAGGCCAACAATGTAGCTCGGCTGCATCAGCCAGTGCATGCCCCACAGCCGCTCCCAAGTATATGCTGCCCCCCACCCCCGGCAACGCCCGCGCGCTCGCGCGGGCGGCGAGGAGCACGCAGAGGAGGAAGGGCCCGCGGGAGCAGCAAGCAGGGGACGCGAAGCGGGCCGTCAAGGAGAGGAGCAGAGGAGCGGGGGCTCGGGGGGGGGGGGCAATATGCGCAGGGAAGACACCATGTAAAGGCAAGCGCGTCCTTCCCCGTCCGCTCATCCTGCCCCCTCCCTCGCCTGACGTCACGCGTCTCGACCCTTTTCATCGTGCCCGCCCCCCGGGCCCCCGCTGCGTGCCCAATGCGATCGCCCCCGTCGCATACGCCTCTTCTCCTCGCAGCTCTCCTTCATCGTCCTGCCTCTGACTACTCATATTCAGTTCGCCCTGGCCCCTCCCCCCTCCCCGATTCATCCACCTCTCCTCCTCCTCATGTGTCCTCGCAGTTCCACCTCTTCCTCCTGCGTCTACGCCCTGCCATGCCGCGCCCGTTCGCCATCGCCTCAGGCGCCCCGCCCCGTGCCCCACTCTGAGTTTGCTGCCCCATTGCTCTGCCGCCGTCGCCCCGCAGCGCCCCCCCCCCCCACCCCCCGGGGTCCGTGGCACCGCGCGGCGGTCGCATGCCGCTTTTGTTCTTGGCCGCCACCTCCGCCCACTCGCCGTCGGCGCTCTCCTCCGCGGCGACCGTCTCGGCGGCGCGTGCCTTGGGCGGCGTGGAGTCGGAGTTCGCCGAACGGAAGAACGCCTCGATGGTGCCCCGCAACCTTCGTCGGGCCCCCGCCCCCACACCCCCGCAGACAAGGCCCCTGGGACATAGCGGAGGGGAGTGGGGACGAAACGACTGCAACTCCTGACTCCACGGCCACGAGGGGGGCAGTGACTGACGTCGATGACGACGACGACGACGACGACGTCGACGACGGCGGCGACGACGACGACGAGCGAGCGAGGAACGACGAGCGAGGGCCGACGACGGCGACGACCGCCGACGACGCGGCCCGACGCCCCACGAACGACAAGGACGAAGACGAGGAGGAGGACGACGACGACGACGACGGTCTTAGCTCGCCTCGCCCCTCGACTCGACCGCTCCTTGCCCGCCTCGACCACCGACGACCGACGACGACGACGACGACAACCCCTGGCCCGCTTCTTTGCCGCCCCCTCTCTCACTCAGGCGCAACTGAACGCGAGCGCGGACGCGCTGGCGTCGTCGGTGTCGGTGAACCCGCGCTGGAGCCACTGGACCCAGAGGCGCCCTCCACCTGGGCCGAGGGAGGAGGGGCGGGGCCGCCGTCGTCGTCGCCGTCGCCAGCGAGCGAGCGCCACACCCCATCCCAAGCTTTTCCCCGGGCCCCAGTGGGGATGCGAGGGGGGGAAGGGAGCGGCGGTCGGGAGATGGTTCGGAGTTGCCCCGCCCTTGGCCGCGCCTTCGGCTTCGCCCAGTTGATTGGGCGCGATGCCTCCAATCCTCCATGTCGTTTTTTTTTTTTTTTTTTTTTTTTTTTTTTTTTTTTTTTTTTTTTTTTTTTTTTTTTTTTTTTTTTTTTTTTTTTTCTTTTCTTCTTCTTCTTCTCTCTTCTTCTTTCTTCTCTCTCTCTCTCTCTCTCTCTCTCTCTCTCTCTCTCTCTCTCTCTCTCCCTCTCTCTCATTCTCTCTCTCCCCCCCTCTCTCTCTCTCTCTCCACTCTCTCTACCTATATCTCTATCTCTCTCTCTCTATAATTGAATCTCTCTCGTGTCTCACACGCCCGCTCTCTCTCTCTCTCTCTCTCTCTCTCTCTCTCTCCTCGCGGACTCTCTCTCTCTCTCCTCGCTCTCACTCGCTCGCGCTCTCTCTTCTCTCTCTCCTCTCTCTATCTCCCGCTCTCTCTCTCTCTATATATATGTATATATATAGATGTATTCCTTTTTTCTCTTTCTCTGGGTGTATATATATGTGTATTATTTTTGTTTCTCTCTCTCTCTCTTCTCTCTCTCTCTCTCTCTCTTCTCTCTCTCTCTCTCTCTCTCTCTCTCTCTCTCTCTCTCTCTCTCTCTCCTCTCTCTCTCTCTCCTCCTCTCTGTCTCTATCTTCTCTCTCTCTCTCTCTCTCTCGTCTCTCTCTCTCTCTCTCTCTCCCTCTCTCTCTCTCTCTCTCTCTCTCCTTCTCTCTCTCTCCTCTCTCCTCTCTCTCTTTTGCGTATACCTCCCTCTGCCTCGCCTGCCGCTCCCGCCACTTTCTCATTGCCCCCGCTCTACCCCCAACGCAATCCTCCTAGGTAAGCGCTGCGCCATGGGGTACTTCCCGACGATGATGCCGCTCGCGGGGGCCACGTTGCCAACCGCCGAATCCTTCAAGGTGGGGGGGCGGCGAGAGAGGGCAGGAGAAAGCGGGCGAGCGCGAGGCCAATGGGAAGCGCCCCTCTGGGCGAGGGTTGGCGCGCGCTCCCCGGGGCCCCTCCCCCCGCGATGCGATGCACCACCCATGTCCGCCATCGTGTCCGCCGTCTTGCGTGTCTTCACACTCGTGGCCGCCCCAGATGGTGCCGAGCGCTTCAAGCTGGACTGCCCGCGCGCCATCGCAGTGGGGCGGAAATCTGAGTTATTAGGGGGGGGGTGTGGGGGGGGGGGGGGCTTCGAGAGGTCAAGGAGTCGAGGATGCCACGGGGGCAGGGCTCGAGCGAGCAAGGAGCGCGACGGCCCCCATCCCCCCACCACCACTCCACGGGGTCCCGGGAGGCCGCTGGTCGACCTGCTGGCGGCGCGCTGGCGCCGCCGCGCTCTCGAGGCGTCGACGCTGCCGCCTAGGCGCGCCGAGGAAGGGGGGGCGGGCGGAGAGGGATGAGGCAGGGGGGGCGGGATGGGCCCGGGACGAGGCGGAGGAGGGGGGGATCACGAGGCATGAGGGAGGGGAAAGGAAGTGGATGCAGGCAAGCGGGAACCAGGGGCCCAGGGGCCTTCTCCCGCCCCCAAAAATCTCCTCCTCCTATTCCTCCTCCTCCCCGAGCCGTTCTTCCCCCCCTCCACTTCCCCCTCCTTCGCACTCCCCCCTCTTTCCTTGCCCCTCTCCCTCTCCCACTCCCTCCTCCCCCGCCCTCCCCAGTCCACCAGTCCGCCGCTCTCCTTTCCGACGAGCGTGCGCCGCGGCGTCTGCTCGGGGCTCCACTCCGCGAATCAAGGAATGGGCGGGGTGTTGGGCGCGCTGGCCTGCGCCCGAGGGGGGTTCTCGGCCCGTGGGCTCCTGGGGCGTCGAGGGTGGTCGGCGGCGGCGGCGCATGGCCCAATAGGGCCAGGAGGGAGGCGCTCGGGCCCTCGGGCGGCAAGTCGGGGCGTTCAGCTCTCGAGCATGACCGACGCCGCCGCCAAACTAGGCTAGGCCATCTTGGGCCATCGCGCCGTGGATCACGGGCTTAATGAGGCGGTGACATCCGGCCGTCATCTTCTTCTCCTGGTCAGTCCACTTGTGCGGGGCAACTCCTTGTGATCCATGATGCTGCGGAAGCCCTCCGACACAATGGGCGCCGCCTTGATGGGGTGGGAAGTCTGAGAC